GGACTATTAAAAAAAGCAATGTGAGAAAAATCTTATGTGAGTCATCAAAGTTCAGATTCTTATTTCAGAACTTGAAAAAAATCTAAACTATTTTTTTATTCGAAAAAATATAAATATTTTTTCAAGGACTTTGTAATGCCTAGGGATAAAAACATTTGAGAAATAGGTTTTTTTGAAAATTGTTTTGCTGGTATAAATCAAAAAATCTTATTAGATTTTTTTTCACATAGATTAGATATCGACATGTGTTCGGATCAACAATTGTTTGTTTGTAGTCTGAACTCACATCCAGATAAATTTTTCAGATTTCTGCAAATTTTTAATAAAAATTGAAAGCAGTTAGCTTTGTTCAGAATTTTGAAATTCATAGTTTTTGGGTTTCAGTATTTTTCAAATTATTATTCACATTTATTTCCACGCATTGTTCAAAATTCTGAATGAATTTTTATATTTTTGATTTTTGATTCACTCGGTCGTAAAATCATAGCAACCTTGTTTTTTTTGCTCATAAAAAATTTACATGAATTTCAAACCACACAACTTCGAAAAAAATCAAATGATCAATCATTGTGAATGAATTGTCAACAATTTTTCAAAAAATGTTGTACTTATAAGACGAATCACCCATCTCTCACCAAAAAAGGCACCCTGACTAATTGACTTATTCAATGTCGCCCCAGTGCATCCTTTTAAGAATTTTGATGTTGGATTATCTGGGTCATCTTTCTCCTTTTCTTTCGTTTTTTTTTCTATTTTTCCCAGAGTTTTTTAAAAGAAAGAAAGAAAGCCTGATCTTTCAACTTATAGAAAGTAGACTAACTAATTATTTTTTCTGGAAAAATTGAATTATAAGTTGCACTTGAACCTCTTCAGTTTCCGTTTAGATTTTCTCATTCTTTTTTTTTCTTTTTCCAATTTTCTAGTTGGGTGGGCCTCCATAGTTTGACCAAAACCTAATAAAATTTTATGAACCTAGACATTTTGTTGCACTTTTTCCTGACTTTTTGGTATATAAGCTATGTTTAACTTTAGCAGAAAAAAATGATTAGAAAAATCTGTCATAAATAATATAGCATAAATAAAATAAAATAAGAAATCCAATTATCAGTTATTTTTTACTTCCAGTAATCGTATTATTTTCATTATGAATTTTTTTCTATTGTTATTCTTGTTTTTTATATACATATATAAAAATGAATATATTTTTGTGGTTGCCCCAGACTACTACTTTTTCTCACTTGGTGTGAAATTTGTTCACTTTTTTTTCCAAAAAATCATAAATTTTTGATTTGTCGATGATTGATTGTTAGTGAGATGATCGGCTCTTCTTCGAGCCACCACATTTTTTTCGAACAATATATAATAAAGAAAAATATTTGTTCCCATTCCTATATAATTTCTATGCACACGCACGCACATTTGAAATTTCAGAAGCTTCAAAAATCATATTTTCTTTCGCTTCTTCAAGCATTTTTGCACTTATGTTTTCTTCTTCCATAGATTTTCTGAAAATTGGAAAATATCGATTGGTTTTCAGTACCAAAAAAAAAGCTGAAAGTATAAGAATTCTAAGAGTACAAAAAAGTATAATTTTTTTGAAACAAATTCACTTATCCACATTTCTTTCTCTCGAATCTCTAGCCAAGAAATTGTGTTTCTCAGAATCACTAATGTTTCTTTTTTGCACCACCATCGAATTTTCTCATGCCTTTTTTTGCATTCTCCCGAATTTTTGGGAGAATCTAACTCAATCAGCTTTATTCATATATGTATTTTATTTCGCCTTTTTTATAAATATGTTTTTACATGTTTCGACTTTTCTTTGGCAAAAATTGAGATTTTGATGTTTTAATACTACTGAAATTGAGAATTTAATCCAGTTCAGTCAACTAAAGAGAATTTTTTATGTTGTTTAGAGCAACGAAAAAAGAATATAAAAAACAGGATGAGACTTTTTTGGTTTATTTGTTCTAGTTTGAATTGATTCTCAATTTTCCTTTTCATTTCTTTTCCTCAAAAAATTTTGTTCTAAGATTAATTTATCGGCTTACTAATTCTATAAAGTAACATCCGGTTTCCGGAAACATATATTTTCAATTTTCTTAAATTTTCTTGTTTTTTTCTCTCTCTCTTCTCTTACGTATCTTCAAAAATAATCTAAATTTTTCTACAGTAGTCACATTGTCGTTCACATGAATAGGATGGATTTTTATCCCCGTCATGATTATGGGTAAGTTTTGTGTTTTTCGGGTAATTTGTACAAACAGGTGAAAATATGTTATTTGGTGAGCAGCTGAGAATTGGAAAAATAAATTGGAAAATAAAATTCTTTCGGTTTTGTAAATCTTCAAGTTCAAAAAACTTATTTTATATTTAGTATTTTTGTTTTGTTTTTTTCGCTTTTAATTTCAAAAAATAGATATGCAAAAAAAAAAAGAAAATATGAAATGAAAATTACATTTTTCTTCGCGTATTTTAAATGAAAACAACAATTTTCGCTGTTTTTATTTTTCAGCTATTTAAAGAAACGTTAGGTTTTCATATTTCATTGCTTTTTGTGAAAATAAATATTATGTAAACTGATAGATCTAAGAATTTTAAGAGTTTTTGGTGGACCAGGATGGATGCGTTTTGATTCAATCTGAGCTACAGCAGTTTTTGAATGGTCTGTGAAATTCTCAATTAGATCTAAAGATTGATTGAAAACAAATTGGACTTTTTTGATTATTTAAAAATTCTGAATTAGACCAATATTCAATGTCTCCAAATTTTAAGAGTTCTTCACTTTTCCGCTTTTTTCTCAAAAGAATACGATTCAGAAATCTAATGAGAAAACAAAAATGTTGGAATTCAGACTGAATGCGTCCAATTTTAGAGTCTCAATCGAAGTTTTCCAGAAACCTAATATTTTTTAAATTTTAAAAATTCACTTCTGAAATAACAAAATCAAGATTTTGATGTCAAAAAAGGTGACAAGCACTCGAATATGTGTATTTGGCATGTTTTTTATCTGAAAAAGTATGAAAGGCATTTTTTCTTTTGAGGCGAAAAAATAAAGAAGAAGAAGAAGTGCATAAAAAAGGCAGTAGGCAATCTGATTCGTTTGCATTGCATCAATTATTCCTTTGCGTCCCGTCTTTATTTTTATATTATTATTTTTGACAACCCACAAAATATACACATTTTTCAACCCGCCAACCCATTTATCTTTTCCTGCTTGTATTACAAGACAAAACCTTGAGTTTCATGGATCGAATTTCGTAAGACAAAAAAACGCGAGCTCGCGATTTTTATCTGTCGCAAAAATTGTTATGATTGCAGGTGTTTTGTAACTATTTTTCTTAACTCAATCACTTTTTTATCAATTTTCTTCTCATTTAGTTAGTCTAAAAATCGAATTATTTCCTGGGGATTGATCTTACAATTTTGAAGAATATTTTTCGCCAAAATATATCTCAAATTTCATTGATCATTTCATAATCTAGGCAACACACAGAAAAATCATCATCTTCGTTGTCTTCTTTAGAAAAAAAAACGAGGAAATTTGAGAATAAATGAGCAATAGATCGGCGTAAAAACACGGACCTCTTTTTTTTATCGAAATAGTGCGATTGTTTGATGAATCGCAGACATGAAACAGGAGACTTGAAAAAAAAAAGTCTTTGCGAGAAAAGCAGCGGAAAAGTGAAAATCCCCGAGACTTTGCCTGTCGCTGTTGTTTTCTGTTATGATGATGATGATGAACTCTCACTAGGTTTTTTTTTGAAATACATGAATTATTTTTTTCTTTTTTTGATTAAAAACTTTGTGGTTAGGTTTGTTGTTGTGGTTTGGTATATAGTGGTTGAAAGTTGAGCTTGGGAAATATTGAAACTATATTTTTCATGACTATTTTGACTAAAGATTTTTCTTCGAGGCAAATGTCATCAATTTCAAAAGTTATTAGAAAACATGCCATTAAAAATTGTCATAAAATCCCTTAAATTTTGAAATGAAGTTCAAAATATTCTCTCAATCTCAATTGCAATATGAGAAAATTGAAAAGGGAAATAAAAATCACTTTTTTGATCATAACTCATTTATTCCCCTTCCTCTTTTCATTTTATTCTTCAATCACATATTCCAAATCACCGTGTTCATTTTCTCCGAAACAACCGAACCACATTTTATATCGTTTTGAACACACACAAAACTTGCCTCGACCACATGTGGAATATTCCGAACCCATCCATTTTTCTTTGCTTGCTTGCGCTTTTCTTCTTCTTCTTCTATTTTTTCACTTGGATCGTTTAGCTGCTCGTTTTTCTCATCTCAAAATAATCTATGCAAAGTCAAGTAGAGACACTATTACTTTTTTCACTAATGTGCATCTTCTGAGGAGTAAATCTAAAAGAGCCCCACCGAAAAAAAAACGAATTTGTCTGATTTTATTTTTATTATTCTAGGTCTTATATTTTGACCGCAGAGTTCAAGTGTTTTTTTTTCTAATTTTAAAGTGCTGAATAATTTTTCATATAATAAAAATAAAATGTATGCAAATTAATTTCCAACTTTTCTCGTTCCTTCATTCACCCTTCATTTTTCTATATATGTATATATTTTATGTCTACATATATGAATTTCTAGGTGTTCTGAAATTTGAGAAGCTATTTTTGATCACCGTTCCGTTCAAAGAAAAACGGCTACTAAATATTTTCCCACCCAATAAATTTTGCCATTCATTGTTCATGGAAAAAATCCGAATTCAATTTCTTCTCGTTTTTTGCTCGCCTCATAAAAAGTGTATAAAATTTGCCTTGAGAGACAAGCAAATTGGCGCGTGAAGAGCCGCAATTATGTGCATGCTCAAGTTGATAATTAGCGAATTATACTCTCTTGCGCCTTTCTTCTTCTTCCTCACAACAATTATCTTGTTCTATGTAAAGTTTCCTCCTAATTTACTGTGATTTTCTTTTTTATTTTTGAATTCTATTAAATTTTTAAATATGTGTTAGTTAGGTATGGGCTCAAGCGATATTGAGAAAAACAAAGTCGTCATGCAGGAAATATTATACGAAGTCATCGAAAAAAGGTATTGCATGTTTGTATTGCAGATTTTATATTAATCGGAGAGAAGGGGCCCTGGGGAAATATCAGAAATCAATCAAACAAAAAATGTGTAAATTTAATTTTTTTTTAAATATAAAATTTTTACAGCGAGTCATATAAATTCATCCGTATGGCCGATGATCTACACGATGTTGCCTCGTACCTAAATGATATGCGCATATGCTTCATTGCACTCACAGTAACCGGTGAGTTTTGGGATAAAAATAATATATTATGATAATATTTATCTAGTTAGAGTAACATAAACAGCATTGAACATTGGGGTTTTCAAATATTGTCCTATTTTTTTCAATGTTTTTACATTTTGGAACTCAAGTTATCCGAACTTTCTTTTAAAGTCCGAATCCTGCCATGGTTTGATGATTCTGAACTGACATGAGCCAAAGATTCAGAATATCAAATTTCAAAAATCAAAAATCTTTTGGTTTAATTTGCAATCGCAATTTGCCAAGGTTCAAAGTTCATGAAAATGTTTTCTGTTCGTTAAAAAAATTATTCTCAAAACTCCAACTAACCATTTTTCAGGTTATATCGTTCTTGTCATATATCTATTTGTATTCTGCTTCCGTCGTAGTCGAAGGAATCAACCGAGACGCAGATATGGCGATTTTCAGGTATTTAACTTACTCCCCTATATTACTAATATTACCCAATAACCCCTTATAATCACAGAAAGTTCAGCTCGAATCTCAACGTGATTTCAACAACACAACTAATTCGGGCGATGATATGTTAACAACAGTTCGAACAGACACAAATAGCAGTTATATGGGAAGGAATCATCATAGGTAACAGAAGAAACCTTTTAGAAAACATGAATACAAACAAACCAATTTTTTTACTCTCAATCCCCAAAGCAATCACATTTTTAGTCACGTGTGATGTGTGACAGACACCAAATCATTACAGTGTTTTTTTATAGAGGACGAATACGCCAGGAAAAGGTGACTGATATATGTCAAAATTCTCATATTATACATATGTATCAATAATCATAATTAGTTGGCTTTTTCTCTGACATTCACGCTCACACCATACTATTTTTAGAGGAATGTGTACAATCTCACCCTTTTTTCATCAACATATTGTTACCTTGTTGTGATTTTTTATTGGGAAATCAACGCTTTTTCTAGCCGCACGCAACATTTTTTTTTTTACATTTTTTTCAATAATCACACACACTTAAAAGTAACATTATATCACTTTTCAAACTTCACATCACGAGGGAACTTTTTCAGAACAGGGATGAATTTGATGGCAGCCTCCGATGAGAAGGAGATTTTTTGAAACAGAGTTAGGCAAATCTTGCTACTCTATAACTTGGCTCAAAGATTGAATTCAATTCTTGATCAACGTTATCATTAAAATATAGCTGCTAAAAATCTTCAAAGTTTCAACCTTCACGAAAAAGTTCCCTTGATTTTCAAAAAAACTCACAACATTTATATATTTCATATATGTATAGAATAGAAAGCACGTATGTCTCAAAAAATCAATATACGTTAATCCGGTGTTACATTCGCTGAAAAATATGGTGTTTTTTATCTAGGTCACATCAGAATACAGCGCCAACGTTCATGCGGCACGGGCACATGAACCATCAGCAGACGACACGGCTCGTAGCGGACAACGACGGTTCGGCGGTTAGTTTTTTTGTAGTTTTTTTTCAAACGTCAATTTTTACGAAAGCTTGTTGTTATCAATGTTTCTGTTAATTTTATAAATATTTTTTGAGTGAATTGAAAAAAAAAACCAAATAAAATATAATTGTTTGCAGGTGAAACACCAAATTCCACACATTACAACGGAGGCGCCAACTGAAGAAAAAGCAAAAGTGCCCCAACTGGTTAAAGATTCAATCGATGGATAACTTCTCAAATTTCTCTACTTTTTTATTTTGAAAATATTTCTTGGGTCGTTCAGCGGCTGTCATTTTTTCTAAAAACATTTTCTCTGAAAATCAAAATCACAATTGAATCTTTGTTCCTTTATGTCACAATTCATTCCATTATTTACGGTGAATTATCTCATTTTTTTTAAATCTGAATTCCATCGAATTCTTATATGCTTTTCTCATTCTCAATTTATACATAATTTTTTCCACTTTTTTTTCAAAATCTTCCTCTCAAAGTCAAATTTCAATTTGAAAATGCCATAACATCCTGGCCCCTAGCGGGTACTCTTTTCATTATATCCATAACATAACAAATAATCTAGTCTCAATTTCCTTCCCTCTCAATGTTTTTTGTCCAAGCCATTTACTTTTTTCTTTATTTTTTTCGAATCTCTCAAATTGAACAAATCAATAGAATATCATAGATTTTTTTATAATCTTTCCTTAAAATTTCTCTAATCCTGGTGCTTTTTTTGTAAAGAATCTCTCTGATCTGAAACTTCTTGAAGTTTATTTTTCTTTTCAATAATGACAAGATTTCTGAATGTCTATTTTTTATCTGAATTTTACGTGCCTTTTAATAAAAAAGTTATTTTTTGGTGGGATTTGAATTTGAAAATTGTTAAATCGACTGAAATAAATCCATGAGTGGAAAAATATCACATGTTGTTAAAGTTTTCAAGTTATTGGGATCAAATTGTGCCTCAATTTTTTGAATATAAAATTTCCAAAACAATAATAACATAAAACTCATTCATATAAATATCTCAAAATCTATACCTAAATATCAAAATGAGGCGTCGAAAAACACATGCCAAAAATACACACAACAACGAGAACAGTCACAAGTAACAAGCAGAATCGATCCAAAGCCATTGCTGCAAATTTCCAATCTTCCTGAAAAAATGATTATTTTCAAAATCCCTAAAATGATTTAACAAAACGATGATATCATTTTGCGCGCCCATAAAGTGGGCGCAATAAAACATTTGTTATCAAAACAGATAAAAATACCACTCACCTGTTTGAACAAGTACTCTTTTTGTTTATCTAATCGACCGTTCAATGATTTCAGCATTCCATCAATATTTCGATAATATGAAATTATTGTCATAGCATATGTTGAATAAGTTGAACCTTCTGCAAAAAATAGAAATTGAATTATCACAAATCTTTTGAATTAATTTCAAACTTCTCATTTTAGCATCATCAATACATCGTTTCACATATTTTTCAAATTGTAAATATCGTCTTTTCCTCAAAGAATCACTCTTGCTCAAATTTTTCGAAAAAACAAGAGGTCTTTTTTGACTTTTCAGAATTCCGTCTCCAACTTTTCTATCAAGTCGCAAATGTTCAGCTGGAACACTGGCTAGTTTTTTTAGAAGTGGTCGAGGTCGTGGGGGTAAGGGTAGAGTTTCAGCACTGTCGATTGATAGGGAATTGTTGAATTCATAATAGTCGTGATCAGTCGGGCAACACTGAAAATATGAAAATTATATGTCAAATAATTTCAAAACGTGTGTCCGTTCTCTCAAAAATACGAACAGGCATTGTTCATCACAACTTTATTATTTCGAACACTAAACAGAATTGAATGAAATGACTCAAAAAAAACCTAACTGTGTTTGTTCTACGGTGTTGATTTTCTCTCACTTTAATATTTTTCAAGAAAAACCACCATGTAATTCCTTGAGACCCCCTTATTTGAACTTTTAAAACCAAAACAAGTCAAAAAGCAGATAACAATCTTTGCCTTTTTTGCTCATTCGTTTTGCCTCACCTCATCTTCGCAATTTTCAAAAAACGATTCATCATCTCGCTCACAAGTTGTGGCTTTTCGTTTCTTATAATAAACACCAGGACGTTTCATTAAAAGTAGCCATGGAATATAAATCAAGAACACTTTATAAAACTGAAAAAAAACACTGATATTAAAGGTTGATTGTAATGACTTACCACTGGGTGCATATGAATATTTTGAACTTGTCGATATCGAAAATTCAAAACTGTGATGGTAAAAGCAGTTGATACAGCACTAATCAAGGTTAACGATGAGAAAAACATACCTGAATTTTTTTCTTTAAGGGTTCTGCTCTGAATGTCAAACTAACCTAAAAGAGGCACAGATTCGGACGTTGGTGGTGTCATTTCACTGACAATTGTGACAAAGAAACATATTGACAGAAGAATTGTGGTTTCTAGAAAAAGCTTGAAATATCCGATGAAGTTTTTTTAATGAAAAATTTCCCGATTCTGGTAAAAACGTTCAAACCAGCCCTGCTCATCAACGTTCACCTTTGAATTTAATTTTAGCAATAAATAAGAATTCCAAATTGAACAGGTTTCAAAAATCAAATAACTCACGATAACCAATTTTTTCGGACATGTCATGAGCTGGAAGACAAAATCCCATTAACGTCATAATCGAAATCAGCAGAGATGGCAAAATCACATTGAATAGATAGAACAGTGTTCTTCTCCTGAGAATGTATTCATTTTTCTTGAACTGCGAATTTGTTGACCCCTTTTTGCATGAAAACTTTGCGACTAATAGCAAGTTTCTATACATTTTTAATTAGTTTGTGTTGTGTTCTCTAACCTCAAAAACATGTAGAATGTCACGGTTGAATAAGGTTCCGGACAACATGAATTATATTTTATATCTTTAATGGCAGGTGCCTTTAAAAGTAACCATTCACCACTTGGTGTATATGTTGATAAATCGATCGAATATTCTTCATCATCTTCTTCAGCAATAATACTCAAATCTAATGCAAGTCCGTGATATGTCCAAGATCCAAACTTGAGATAACAAACTTGATCATCGAATGGGAAATATGTGATATCCATCTTACAACTCGCTCGAAAAATACCAGGAGGTATCCAATTAACTTCCCCTGTGTTATAAACTACTTCATTCGATTTGAAACTTGAATCAAAATCTTCGTTAGCACTATTATATAATAAAACATCAGGTCTCCAAATTTGATTTTCTCCTCCTGCAAATCGTATACTTGTTATATTATCGTATTTTTTCGGATCCCATCGTAATCGATAATCCATCCAGACATATTTCAACCAAGCATTCACCTCAATTATTTGGTTTTTTCCATCCTACAAACAATAGTTTTTTAATGTCTTTTTGTTCTGTAAAATTACCAAATTCAAAATTTGCTGAAGAAAAACTTTCATATGAACTTTCAAAGCATCTTTTGGATTTCTAACAGGTCTTGCTAGTTTCAAATATCCCGCAAGAATTTCCCTGAAAATTATTTTCCTCACATTTCGAACATGAAATAATTATTATTCGAAAAAAAATCTCACTTGTATAACCGATTCTCGGCTTTGCTGCAGTTTGAAATATTAATGAATGATGTGAGTAAGAATAAAATAAAAATATTGATGAAAATAATAAATTTCATTGGGATAGTAACATAAATGATATCTTCGTTACATCAAAAAGCTTTGTTTGTTTTGATTTTGTTAGTCAAACACACTTTAGATTTTGATGAATGTTAATGAATCAAAATTTTTGAAAATTGTTTTTTTTCTTTTTTTCAGAAAAGTTTCAAAAAAATATAGTAGTTGGTAAGAATAATTTTTTTAATTATTATGAATATTTGTTTTGAAGCTGAGTTTGTCAATGTTGAGACCTTCGGCGCATGATAAAGAGTAACTGTCCCATTTTATTCTCAAAAGGTTTCAGGGTTTTTTGAAATATTTTCTAATTGACCCAGTCATTCGCGTTTCCATAATAATTCATGCTATTATAAATGTTTCATTTTTCTAAAATCAATGTTTTCTTGAACTTTCATCTTTTTTCATGTCTGTGGTTCAGATTTCAAAACGAATAAACAAACAAAAACGCCATCTTGAAAGAAATGAATTCGATTTTTTGTTGATAAATCATTTTTTCTGCTTTGCTTCCGTTTGAAAAAAAACCAACAAAATTATAAATTATTTTTATTTTACCAAAAAAAATCAAATAAGAAAAAACAATAAAAACGTATCAGTTTTTAGACGAAAAAAATAGTGGAACCGCATAATTGAGCCATTTGATATGACTACTCCGCTTTTTCTATAGAATCCGGTGAAGACAAAAACCTATAGGTCAGGAAAAAATAACCAAAGAAAGTTGGACGGGTGGAATTGTTTTTGATTGGCTTGACAAAAGAACAATTGAGAAGGGCTACCAGTTTCTAATTCTCATCTAACACATGTAAAAAACAGGGGAAGAAAGGGGGATAAAAATATATAAAATTTAAAGTGACGCTGTGTGAGAGTGGAAAGAAGTTTTGAATATTCACAAAATGAAAATTGAATAAGTAAAAACCCTAAACCTAGTATGTATAGAGGATAAATGGAAAATTTGTGGGACCAAAACCAATTTTGTACTGGTTCACAAAGCACCAAAACACACAGACAGAACATCTAGAGCTTAGTAATAGAAAATAAAAAGACTACAATGGCATGAATAATGCTTTGAAGAGACCTAAATTTGTGAAAATATGAAAGGGAAAGAAATGTGTACAAGTTGTTTTAATTAGGCTTTCATCTCTTGAATCTGTTTGATAAGGTAAGCCTTTTCATCATTAAATTGCTCATCATCAGTTCGATCATTGTGGAATTCCGACAGAAAATCAACCAATTTTTCACGATTTCTGTTCAAGATATCCGAAATTGGACGAGGCTTGTTTGGATTGGCGACAAAAACCTGAAAACGCTATTTATTTTTCATTCACATAGTTTTTGTTTAAAGAAAATGCTACCTTGAAGACGTGGAATGCTTCGTATTGAATATTGCGACTTCTATCACGCAACAGTTCCATCATTAGTTTCAAGTTTTCCGGATTTGAAATGTACTTTGTCATAATGTTGAAATTGTGGCGATCCAGCAAGAGCTCACCCAATAGCTTCAATGATTGTCTTCTTGTTACATAGTTTTTCGAGTTGAGAAGTTGTTGATAGTTAGCTGAAAAAATAGGAATTCAAATTTTATATGTCCTATATGAATTGGTAGGTTTCCAGACCAGATTAAGATTTTTATCGAAAAGTGAGAAGTGCTCTTTGAAACAAAAACGTTCAACATTTTTTGATAGTTTTTTGAACAGGGTCCCACATAAAAAACCTTATTTAAAAATAAATGTTCCATACAATACACTGTAACAATCCACTTAAACGTGGGAACTTTCATTTTTATTTCTGGGAACGTATTTTCCAATTCAATTTACCCTACAAAATTCACTCACTAAAAAACTTGTCGTAATTCTTATCCAAAAATTCAGCGCACATTGATTTGTGTTTGGTGACAAGATCCTTGAATGTCGAAAATGCATCAGATGCAATATCGAACACTTCGCTCTGCACATAGTTAAAGAAGAAGAAGAAATGATCAGAGTAAAGAACAATTTTTGCCAAATGATCATGACGAATACTTTCACGGAGCATCAAACCACATGTTAATGCAATATCCGGATGCGAATATCTATAAAAATAACATATGAGTTTTTTTTCTAATTTATCACTATTTTTCTTACCCTTTAACAAGTTGAATGAGAATATCTGGTCGAGCTCCAAGATATTCGACGGTTGGACTACGAGTTCCGATTTGACGACGAAGAAGATTGTTGAAAATCTGACCAACATCTTTTTTGCACTCGAATTCGAATTTCGACAAATGTTTGATGAGCATTGGTAGAATATTTGCATTGTAGACTTCTTGAGCGAGTTGAGCAACTTGATCACCATGTGGTTCTTGACCATCACTTCCATAAATGAACGTTTTCACCATTTGCAAATTCTTAGACACATCTTCAAGAGCCTTATCGGTCTTCTTTTCGGTACTTGTGCTCTGAAAAATGAGCATTAAACATTTTTTCGATTTGTTTTTTTTTTCGAAAGTTGTCAATTTTTTAATCTATTGGTTAATCACGCTTAAAATAACAAAAAAAACTGACCTTATCAATAATAAGAAGTGCATCTCGTAGTTGTTTTACAACATCAGCCGGTGACTTGTGGCTTTTTTCCGAAAAGTGGCAAAGGCATTTTGAAATAAAAGTGTTTGAGTTGTAGATAATCAGTGTGATTAACAAAATACACCAACCAAAAACCTGAAAAAAAATAGTTGGATAAAGTACAAATTTTTTGATGATGTACGAAAAAACGAGAATAGACGAGAAATAATTCATGCAAATCTATAAGTACTCATAATCTATTTTTCTTTTCAATGCAACACAAAATATCGATCGATTGATCATCGAAAAAAGTATCAAGGAAGAATCGTTAAATCGCTTGTACAAACAATTGTGTTGACTTTCAATATTTTTTGAAGGAATTGATGGAGGGATATAATTGACAAAAATATGTATTGTATGAACAAAAAATAAACGAAATGAAAGAAGTTTACGATTAGTACTATATATAGTTCTTATCTTTAATGTTAAATTGTTCTGTTGCAGAAAGAATTTGTGTTATCAGGAAATGGAAAACAATTGGAACTGACGAAGTGAGAAAAAAAGAGATTCAAAGTCGCAAAAAGAAAAAAATGTTTCGAAAATGGCTGAATCAATAGCAATATAATATAAATGCTCGTGTTGATTGTCAAGTGACCTTTATTTATTTTCGAAATATGTATATTTTATCAACAAAACATCACGAGTCGGATGCATCATGCGGTGAGAATGAATTGGGAAAACAAAACCATAGGGCGGAAAACAAAATGACGAGAGAAAATGAATGATGGAGGTAAAGCTAAAACGAAAATCCTAAATTAAATATTGTGAAATGATGAATCACGCATTCTTTCTTCACTATCGCAATAAAACAAAATTAAATGAGTAAGAGTTTTTCCGCCTTTAAAAACTGAAATCATTCAATCTGAAACATATAATCATATAACTAACAGTTAATATAATAATGATGTTTATAAAACGATTAGTTTTGAAAAATGTGTGTGTTTGGAACACAACAAAACGAATAAGATGAAGAAAAAAGAAAAGCAAAGGAACGCGCTCAAGAAAAGAGACAAGTAATAGAAGAAGGAAAAAAAGCGACAGCAGAAACAAGACATGCACGAGGGCAGACATACAGAGGAGGTCGTTGTGTGTGACACGAAAAAAGAAATGAGAGTATAGACAACACGCTTGAAGATGTTCAGTGGAGCGCAGTTGCTCGTGTCCCTGTGATGAAAATGTTCCTGTTTTTCTAGTTTTTTCGTGAGGGAAAGAAAAACATTTTTTGATGATAAATAATAGTGTTTTTTGGTGTTTTCTTCAATATTATTATTTTTTCTTATTGTGAACTATATATTTTTTATATTTTCCCTTCCTTATTTTTCACAAGTACAAAATCTTCGCTGAAACACTTTGCACTTTTTATTAATGTATTTTTTGTTGACGCAACTTCTTTCATTATATTCCAACTGTTGGGATAAATGTGCAATTTTGGAGGTATAGGCGAATGTATTCTGAAGAGAACAGTTATAGTATTTTTCTTATTAATATAGTATGCCACATAGTTTTGTAATAGCTAAATTTAACAGAAATATTCGGAAATGGTTGGTATTGTTCAATGAAAGACAAAATATGAAAAGAACAACCGGAAACGAAAAAAATTCAAAAAGAACGTGTGAACAATAAGAACGGTCGAACAAATGTTCGTTTTTTCACAAAATGATAAACCAAGATAAGGGAAATCGTTTTGAATGTTGGAAACATTTTTATCTGACACTGAAAGCTTTTTCGGAAATCTCATATTAAAATTCGTATAGATGTTTCAGAAAATATATTGAAAATTGAAATCTGAAGATTTCAAGAATGATAAAATGTTGATAAGAGCTTGAGCTTTGATTGATATAACATTATGTGGAAATCAAAAGAGTATCAAAAACATTCTGGATGTTCAGTATTTTTAGGATTATACTGAAACTCGTTTATATATGAAAACTGAATAGTAAAAACGAATGTTGGACAAAATTGTATGAAACGTGGAATCTTTTATAATTTTGTTTCAACTTGGATAATAATTTTAAAAGTTTTCTATTTCAATTATTTAAAAATTGAAGTTTTTTTTCGAATAGCTGCTTCTCTTACAGTTAGATATGAGAATACAAATTTAAAACTTAGATTCTAGTGAATACAATAATGTATGTTGATGTTTTCGGTGTTAAATGATCAAAATGTCCAGAGAAAAAAACACTTTTTTGTGGGACTTCCACTTATTTCAAAGATCTGAAGCACTTAAGAGAAATATGATAGTCGATCACAACGAATCAAGCCTAATTAGTGTATTGTAAATAATTATTATCTACAAATAAACCACTTGTTTTTCAATACTATTTATATAATTTCCAAAGTTCCACTCTTATCTAATTTCTCCTTCCGATTTCATGATTCACTTCTTGTTTGTTTTGCTAAATATATTTTTTTCAGAGTTTGCCAAATCAACTACAAAAATCTCAAAAACAAGAGGAAGCAACTGGTTTTGATCCAGGTAATGAAAAATAGTACATACACACTTTTTATTTTGGTTTTGAACGTATTGAATTTGATATACACACACGTATACACAAAAAAACAACAAAGACCATGATAACAATGTGTGAAGACATATGGTGCAACAATGATTCCGAAACTGATAAGCATTCAAATAAATACCAATCAGTCTGGTTCAGTTCATTTTTATCTACTCTAATTTGCACTTTCTAAGAACTCATTTTCTCATTAATTAAATAATTTCCAGTTTATGCACTCGATCTACAGTAACGAACATCCACCAGTTCTTTCTGTTGTCAACAAAAAGAAACCCGATTTGAAACCAAGGATAATAATGGAAGCGGATAACAATGATCAACCAAGACGTAAGCATTTTCCTTTTGTTACCGCGAAAAAAAATATAAGAAAGTATTTTCAGAATCATTTTGTACTTGGTTTCACAGTTTGAAAGTTCAAATCTGGATTGCCTGGCTTGGTGTATCTGCTGGAATTATGGCTGGAACTGTATTTGCTATCAGATACCAAAATTGGATTGCTGTTACAATGTGTTTCATTTCGAGTGCATTTGCCACACTTGTTTTGCATTTGCACATGGCTTATAAGAAAACTCAAATGGCTGGGTGGTCGTCAACAAAATTAAAATGTATTTCAACAGTTGGAATCACTGTTTCGGTTTTCTCATTCATCGCAATGATTTATTGTTTGGTTGAGGCTGGAATTGAACAACAAACTCTTACACCAGAAGGTTAGTATGATTATTTATCGCAAAGATCTGACTTGATAATGTGTTCACTAAAATTTTGTGATCTGTTCTCTAAATCTATCGAATATTTTATAATTCTCAATTCGGAATTGTATTTAACACCAAATGTTTCTTCGCTAAATTCTCTCAGGTTTTGTCTAAAAATAGAAATCATGTTCAATTCAAAAATAATCCCACATACTTTCACACAAATAAAACGATGAATATGTAAATGAATAACGCCTCGGGTCGTAGACAAGCTGCTTTTTTATTTTACCATTTTTTTACAGGACTCAAAGGTGCAAATTTGTGGATCGCTGCAGTTTGGTTTTTTATGACTTTCAAATGGTCATTGTTAACATGGAGATTTGGCCGAAAATATCGCCAATTCTGCGATGAGACTCAACCACTTCTTGCTCCTCCACCAGAATATTCCGTGATCGTTTAAGTTCATTTTCAACTGTTTTGTACATAATTTTTGTGGACGGGTAAAAACTTTTCTGTGTTCTATGCTTTTATCAAAACGAGAACACAACACGACGTTTATTATTTGGCATCTCATATGATGTAATTACAATACAAAGAAAATTATTATTATCAATTTTTGTCTCGTTTCTTGCTTAACGATGTTCTTTAGTTTCACTCAGAAGAAAACCGGAAAGTTGAATTTCGTGTGGATAAGAAGAACGGATTTGACGCAAAATCTCATTGTCAATTGTCAAATTGTGATCACAGATTTCGAGCTTTCTTTGCAATTTGTCACGATCATTCTCAAGTTTTTTTCGACTCTCTTTTGCTTTGTCTGAAAATTCATCAGTTGTGGAAGGTTTTCAATATGAATCAACAAACCTAGCTGATTTTCCAAACTCAAAAATGTGCTCTTCAACATCATAAGTTCTTGATGAAGTGCGTGTTGAGCTTTATCGTTACAAAGTTCAATACCGGGTCTGAGACCTCGCTGATTTTGCCGTGAGAGCGCCACTTGAAGTGGTCCACTTTTTTGTTTTAAGCTAAATGCAATCTCCTCAATAGCACCGTCTGCACCTTTAATTTCCTTATCTTTTGCGTTTACTTGAGAATGCAAATTATCTTTCCATTCTTGCCAATTTCTGACTGAATCTTTCAACAAACTCTCAACCGCAATTGCTTCAGTTCTCAATTGTTGCGCCATTTCACGCACAGATTGTGCGAGCTTCTGAAAACACATTTTTTCCACTGACCAATTCAATTAAATTGTAAACCTGCGCAATTTTTCGACTATGAACTCTTGCTCGAGCGGCATAGTTCAAATTATTTCCGGTGTTTTCTATCCACTCCGAATATTCGCTCATGCGTTGAAGCGGTGCTCCTTCTCTGAAGAAAAATGAATTCAGGGGAATTTTTGTCATATAAAATTACCTGTAATCAAGACGATCACCATCTGGGGTTCGAGCAGCTGCGGATTTTCCATCTACACCCATTGCAACACTTTTGTGATCAAGGTTTATGGCTTCTTGTTTCAAAGTGAGATCACGGAGAAGATTTTTCCGAGCTGCTTGATTGACTTCTAGTTGTTTTTCAACTTTTGATCCAATATCTTTCATTTGCCTTACTGTCTCGGCCATCAGATCTTTTTCTTTATGAAGTTCTAAATCTACACGATCTGAAGTATGATCTCCAACTTGAACTTTTTTTCTTCGAACTGCCAGACAATTTTCATTACAACGATTTGCTCTTCCAGTAATATCCAAACAAACCTGTAATCTTCTATAACATCTCAATAAATCATCATGTTCCTCTTTAACATCAGCTAACTCTCTGAAAACGAAATTGAATGCCTGATCTCTGAAAGTTTTTTTGAAAACCTGTCAATTTCACCACTCCAATATTTCAGATCTTTACATCTTTGCTGAAGTTGTTGTGTTGTTTGCGCCTGCATTCTTGTTGCTCGCATATTAGCTTCTTTAACAGCGAGCCGAGCCATTCGCACAATTTCAATAGGATCATCGTATTCTGATCTCTTAAAATTTGATACATCAAAGATTAGACAGCTGCCTTTCATTGTTATTTTGTTCAACTTACTCCTCGAGACATTTTTTAAAACAAAATTTGAAGCCGTAAGTAATAGGAGATGAAAATAAAGGTGAAATGAATTTTTCGACATTTGTTGGTTGAAAATTGAAATGGCGTTGAAGCAAACTTCCGGATGAACTCAAAATCGCAGTCGAGTGTGAATTTTTGACAAACATTTTCGTTTGAAGAAAAATAAATTTTGAAAGATCTGAATGGAAAAATGAAAGAAAACATGTTGGGGCAAGGAGTAAAATTGATAAAATTCTGTATAAATGAACACCGGTGTTCACAGAGAACATGATTTTGGGATTTTACACGAGTGTTTTTTTTTTTTGAAATAACATTTATCTGGAGTTTTAGTGACGCTTCGAGGAGATTTGGGCTTTGGCAGTCGCTAGTATTTGCTGTGAGCTTTCAAAGTTCATTGGGCTCTCGATACTTTCCTAGACTGTTTGAAAAGTTTTCGAGCTTTTGAAAATTTTATCCTAAAAAGTTAATACAAAAAAAAACGGATGAATGGGATTAACAGAGAGAGAGCTAGCAGCTTTGGGAAATTTTTTCTGAAAAAAAACTTAATTTTCGGAATGCGTTTTAAAAAATATTTCAATAGTTATTAGAAAGTTAGTTAGGAGGAGGAAAGGATTAATTTGAGTTGTCAATGAAACTGGCTTTCTCTTGAAAATTGCCCCTCATAAAGTTTTATCAAACAATTCGCCCCGAAATCCTCGGTTTCTCCGTCATCGTATAAATTAACTATGAAGAAAGTGTTCGATTAATTAGTATGCGCTCATTTTTCTCATTTTTCGTCTTGTCGGAGTTCAAATTCGTTCTTTTCCTCATCTCACATTTCTCATTTTCAATACACACATACATGCATCCATAGATTAATCCACCCTGAACATCAGAAAAAAATTGAATAAACATAAAACATCTTCGGTGGTCTTTGCCACCCCAAAAACCATTTATCATCTCAACAAAAAAATGACAAGAATGATTTATTGACACTTTTTAAAACATTCAGAGAAAAAATTGCGGTTTCACACACAAACAAAATTTTGTTACAGACTCACATTTTTTGTTTTGTTTTTTTTTTCAAAAAAGACTCGGTTCATATGGAATGTCAAAATGTCAAGATTGTGGCTCTACTTCGGGTGCTAGAAGAAGAAAAAACAAAAAACTCGTTGAACTTTTTTTGTTTGATTTTTTAAATTTTTTCTGGAAACAAATTTGAAAAGAAAAGAATAGTCATGACAGGATATGATGCAAACAAGACGAGAAAAGGGGAAAAAGATTTTAAGATTTTGTTTTGTTTTTCTTTTGGAAAATGAAATTGTGTTAGTTATTTTCAGTATCACATAATTATAGAAATGTACAACGTAATTAGCAAATAAGCGTAGTGATTGTGCTGGAAAAGATTTCGACAGAGGTTTCAACTTTCCGTATCCGAATCCAGGCATTTTCCCTGAAAAATGTTCTCTTATAGACTTTTCTAGATGGATACAAATGTTTTCTTACATTATTGATTTTATCATCCAACATTCTGAAGAAATCTGCTTGGCTAGCACTTTCAACTTCACTGAAAATATATAATTCAAAATAAATCAGAACTTATCAGAACTTACATTATAGGTTTGCCTGCAATTTGGAGAATATTTCCATTGTGACCATTCCTGAAACATAATGAAATAAATTATGGTTTCTTTAAAAAGTACGAAGATACCTTAATTCTGGGAGTGGTGCCCGATTTCCGTTATTTTTCTTGGGCGTTGCTTCGATGGTTCCTTTCTCCGAAGATTTTTGAATATCTTCAGTCGATGAAGTTCTTGAAAGGTGGCAACCCATGTCAGCAAAACAAAATAAAATGAATGGCTCGAAGTGACTGAAAAAGCATATATTTTATAGGTTTAGTTTTTTTCAATATTCCTCAAACTGAAAGAAATATAAAATAAGAAATAGATTGATAGAGCAAGAGCAAGAAAAACCGGGGGTGAATATATAAAAAAAAAAAGAATAATAGGAGAATGATTGGTGCATTTCATTTTATTTCAGAACGCACACAGAAACTATTCTTCATCTTTTGACAAACTGAATAGGTTGAAAATGAATTCTTTTCTCTTTTTTTTGCCTTGCTTTCTCATCATTTTTTTCTCTTGCGATGTGCTGAAACAACCAAAGGAGGACAAGTTGAAGAAGGCGAATAACTCTCAAGAGACCCTTTTCAGCCTTGAAGGCAGGATGAAAAATAATCTCTGATCTTTATGCACATTCAAATGAATTTTTTCTTTTGATCTTGGGTGGTCTTGGTTATATGATGTCATAAAAAGGCCCAAGCCCTAAAACTTTTTTTTTATTCGAACCAAGAAAAAAAGTATTGGCAGAAAGAAAAATTGGGGGGTAAAAGAGAGTGTCAAAAATCTCCGGAAACTTTGCTACGTCAGACAAAAATTTGAAACAATTTGCCAATGTATCATAGGCCTTAAAAATATGGGGAAAAAGACATGAAAAAATGATGTGAGGAACAAGAAAATGGAGAACAAAAAAAGTGCGGTCGGTCTAATTGGCTTCGTCAGTTTGCCAAGAAAAAAAATGTAATCGTAATAATTGAAAAGGTTCGTATAGCGGATCGTTTTTTCTTTCTTATTTTTAGGAAGAAAATGATCAAAAGTTCTGAAAGTGAGAACTAATGAGGAAAAAGTTTGGAAAGTTTTTTCTGAGGGAAATTTGATTTTCTGAAAAAAGTTGATTTGAACTTTTGGACTTGTTTGTTAGTCCAAAACATAGTCCCTAAATTGGTGTGAAAATATTTCGAACAAAGTTTCAGAAAATTGAATTCAACTATTTCGTCAACAAAGTTCGAGAAATTAAAGATCTGGAATGTTCTAGAAACTTTAGACTCTCTTAAATTAGCAAAAATTTCCAATTTACAGAATTTCGAAATGTTGAAAGTCCAAGAATTTGTCATTTTGGTTTTAATTTGAAGTTGAAATAAATAAAATTTAGAAATTTTAAACTGTAATGAAAGTTTGGATGAGAGAAAATGATATTCATGTTTTTTTATAATATACACTTTTCAAATAAGTTTTCTAAAAGTCAACGTTCAAAGTTCATCGTTAATAATTCTTCAATAAATGCATATGATTAATGTTCTCAAATTCAAAATTGGCCAGAAATAAAAAGAAAAATGTTCATTAAGTCTCTCAACCATTCATTTTTTTAACGAATCAGACGATTTCAGATCCCAGTGAAATATTTCATTCAAAAAATGACGTTGGCTTGAAAAAAATGGGAGGATCCGAATTTCCTCTGAAAAGTCAAAAAAAATTCAAATTTCCGAAAAGAAAGTCATCATGAGTTTCTTAAACTTTTTTTTCAATTTGGTTAAAGTTTCCAAATTACAAAAGTTAAGACTCAAAATCTACATTTGGCTTTCAACTTTTTTTTGAGAATTTCAGAATGCTCAATTATCTTGATACTTGAAAATTACAGTACTCAATTTGATATTCTACACAAAAATGCAATCCGAATCTTGAACTAAAAAAAACTAATAAATGATAAATGGGTAAAATAATGATAGAAGAAAATACAACCCACCCGAGAGGATCAAAGTCAAGCAAGCAGGAAGATGAAAGCAAGAAGAAGAAGCAAAACAATTTTTCATTCATTCATTCAAGCTGCCAGGGTGGGCACACACTCTTCTCACTCTTCTCACACTCACAGCACACACACACAAATACACATAATATAACAACAACGCAAAAAAGTTGTTTTTGTGTCATATATGTCAAAAATCACAGCAAGCGGAAAAAAATTGGGATCCCCGCATGCACTTTTGTGTTTCACAAGATCCTTTATTTTCCCGCTCTCCACTCAAAAACAAATCAGAATTTTGGATGATTTTTGAGTCAGCTGCTGATTGAAATTTGAAAAATAACATTTTAATTGGCTAATAAAATATTTTTGTTTGCAAAAGTTATTTCCGATTTCAGATTTGGAAAAATACAAGGAAGCTTTCTTGTAAGAAAAATATTTGAAGACATAATTATAATATTTTCAAGCGTCTAGATGTGAAGACGAAAAAGAAAATAATTATAGAGAAATCTGAAAAAACACCGGCTACTACTTGTAACAAATAAAAAACAACAAAATTTGCTATCCTATATTAGAAAAAAATTAATATGAAGTATATTTCTAATTTTAAAATCGTTTGAAAACGTGACACCTTTCAAATCAGCTGTTTAAAAAAGAGATAAAAATGAGGAGTGAAATATCAAAGAAAATTAATCAATATATATGTTGAATTAACGAAATTTAAAATATTTTTGGCCAATAAAAAACCAAAATAAAATGAAAATAAAAATAATGCCAACAATAAAAAATATCGAATAATGTCACGTTTTCAAACGATTTTAAAATTAGAAATATACTTCATATTAATTTTTTTCTAATATAGGATAGCAAATTTTGTTGTTTTTTATTTGTTACAAGTAGTAGCCGGTGTTTTTTCAGATTTCTCTATAATTATTTTCTTTTTCGTCTTCACATCTAGACGCTTGAAAATATTATAATTATGTCTTCAAATATTTTTCTTACAAGAAAGCTTCCTTGTATTTTTCCAAATCTGAAATCGGAAATAACTTTTGCAAACAAAAATATTTTATTAGCCAATTAAAATGTTATTTTTCAAATTTCAATCAGCAGCTGACTCAAAAATCATCCAAAATTCTGATTTGTTTTTTGAGTGGAGAGCGGGAAAATAAAGGATCTTGTGAAACACAAAAGTGCATGCGGGGATCCCAATTTTTTTCCGCTTGCTGTGATTTTTGACATATATGACACAAAAACAACTTTTTTGCGTTGTTGTTATATTATGTGTATTTGTGTGTGTGTGCTGTGAGTGTGAGAAGAGTGAGAAGAGTGTGTGCCCACCCTGGCAGCTTGAATGAATGAATGAAAAATTGTTTTGCTTCTTCTTCTTGCTTTCATCTTCCTGCTTGCTTGACTTTGATCCTCTCGGGTGGGTTGTATTTTCTTCTATCATTATTTTACCCATTTATCATTTATTAGTTTTTTTTAGTTCAAGATTCGGATTGCATTTTTGTGTAGAATATCAAATTGAGTACTGTAATTTTCAAGTATCAAGATAATTGAGCATTCTGAAATTCTCAAAAAAAAGTTGAAAGCCAAATGTAGATTTTGAGTCTTAACTTTTGTAATTTGGAAACTTTAACCAAATTGAAAAAAGTTTAAGAAACTCATGATGACTTTCTTTTCGGAAATTTGAATTTTTTTGACTTTTCAGAGGAAATTCGGATCCTCCCATTTTTTTCAAGCCAACGTCATTTTTTGAATGAAATATTTCACTGGGATCTGAAATCGTCTGATTCGTTAAAAAAAATGAATGGTTGAGAGACTTAATGAACATTTTTCTTTTTATTTCTGGCCAATTTTGAATTTGAGAACATTAATCATATGCATTTATTGAAGAATTATTAACGATGAACTTTGAACGTTGACTTTTAGAAAACTTATTTGAAAAGTGTATATTATAAAAAAACATGAATATCATTTTCTCTCATCCAAACTTTCATTACAGTTTAAAATTTCTAAATTTTATTTATTTCAACTTCAAATTAAAACCAAAATGACAAATTCTTGGACTTTCAACATTTCGAAATTCTGTAAATTGGAAATTTTTGCTAATTTAAGAGAGTCTAAAGTTTCTAGAACATTCCAGATCTTTAATTTCTCGAACTTTGTTGACGAAATAGTTGAATTCAATTTTCTGAAACTTTGTTCGAAATATTTTCACACCAATTTAGGGACTATGTTTTGGACTAACAAACAAGTCCAAAAGTTCAAATCAACTTTTTTCAGAAAATCAAATTTCCCTCAGAAAAAACTTTCCAAACTTTTTCCTCATTAGTTCTCACTTTCAGAACTTTTGATCATTTTCTTCCTAAAAATAAGAAAGAAAAACGATCCGCTATACGAACCTTTTCAATTATTACGATTACATTTTTTTTCTTGGCAAACTGACGAAGCCAATTAGACCGACCGCACTTTTTTTGTTCTCCATTTTCTTGTTCCTCACATCATTTTTTCATGTCTTTTTCCCCATATTTTTAAGGCCTATGATACATTGGCAAATTGTTTCAAATTTTTGTCTGACGTAGCAAAGTTTCCGGAGATTTTTGACACTCTCTTTTACCCCCCAATTTTTCTTTCTGCCAATACTTTTTTCTTGGTTCGAATAAAAAAAGTTTTAGGGCTTGGGCCTTTTTATGACATCATATAACCAAGACCACCCAAGATCAAAAGAAAAAATTCATTTGAATGTGCATAAAGATCAGAGATTATTTTTCATCCTGCCTTCAAGGCTGAAAAGGGTCTCTTGAGAGTTATTCGCCTTCTTCAACTTGTCCTCCTTTGGTTGTTTCAGCACATCGCAAGAGAAAAATGATGAGAAAGCAAGGCAAAAAAAAGAGAAAAGAATTCATTTTCAACCTATTCAGTTTGTCAAAAGATGAAGAATAGTTTCTGTGTGCGTTCTGAAATAAAATGAAATGCACCAATCATTCTCCTATTATTCTTTTTTTTTTTATATATTCACCCCCGGTTTTTCTTGCTCTTGCTCTATCAATCTATTTCTTATTTTATATTTCTTTCAGTTTGAGGAATATTGAAAAAACTAAACCTATAAAATATATGCTTTTTCAGTCACTTCGAGCCATTCATTTTATTTTGTTTTGCTGACATGGGTTGCCACCTTTCAAGAACTTCATCGACTGAAGATATTCAAAAATCTTCGGAGAAAGGAACCATCGAAGCAACGCCCAAGAAAAATAACGGAAATCGGGCACCACTCCCAGAATTAAGGTATCTTCGTACTTTTTAAAGAAACCATAATTTATTTCATTATGTTTCAGGAATGGTCACAATGGAAATATTCTCCAAATTGCAGGCAAACCTATAATGTAAGTTCTGATAAGTTCTGATTTATTTTGAATTATATATTTTCAGTGAAGTTGAAAGTGCTAGCCAAGCAGATTTCTTCAGAATGTTGGATGATAAAATCAATAATGTAAGAAAACATTTGTATCCATCTAGAAAAGTCTATAAGAGAACATTTTTCAGGGAAAATGCCTGGATTCGGATACGGAAAGTTGAAACCTCTGTCGAAATCTTTTCCAGCACAATCACTACGCTTATTTGCTAATTACGTTGTACATTTCTATAATTATGTGATACTGAAAATAACTAACACAATTTCATTTTCCAAAAGAAAAACAAAACAAAATCTTAAAATCTTTTTCCCCTTTTCTCGTCTTGTTTGCATCATATCCTGTCATGACTATTCTTTTCTTTTCAAATTTGTTTCCAGAAAAAATTTAAAAAATCAAACAAAAAAAGTTCACCTATCAATCGATGTTTTTTGCTTGAAAAATTGAACCTTATTTTTTTTGAAAACACTTCTTTTTATCCCTCATCAAAATCTGTTCGAAATTTGAGAGCATATTTATTTTTCTACTCAATTAAGTTCATTTGGTTTATGTTCCATTACTGTTTATTAGCCTCTTTTTGTTTTTTTTCTTCTTCCACATAAAACTGACACTGGTTGCTCCTCGTTCATTTTTTTTGCTTTTTCCCAACCCATTTCTTAATTATTCATCAAGGGCACAAAAACTCTTTCTTTTTCGCTCTTCTCTTTTAAATAAATAAAAAACCCGAGTTTGGGAAGAAGAGCGGGGCCAAAATGAGGAGCAACAGGCGGAGGGAAGAGGGGAGAAAAAAAACAAAAAAAAAACCAGATTGCCAAAATTAGATTGTGGATTGCGTTTCTCTTTTCTCGTTTGGCTTGTAAAAGACGAAAAAATGCATATACATATATATCTTGAATCTTCCTCAAAATGTGTATGTGTGTGTATATGACAAGTGAGGCCGAGCACCAAGTGGTAGACCCCAGTTTGCTCTTTTTTCTCGTGCTCCAATTTTTTTCTGCCATTTTCCCACATACCTCACTAAATATGTAGTTATGACACTTATTGTTTTCGTTATTTTTGAGTCATTTGAAAAAAATATACCAGTAGCTTCTGTCATGTTTGTTTTTTTACTGGCCAACTGTGAAAATTTGCTCGGAGAATATTGATAAGAAAACTAGATTTGAAAAAGTTCGAAATTATTCCTTTGTGGATCAAATAATTTCTTTGCATCTACATGACTCTACTGTAAGAATATTTAATTCGAATATTGTTTTAAGTATGAGAAGCTCTCAATTTTGAACCAGAAAAACCTTCAGCTTTACTAATTTAGCTTGGAGAACTTCTATTTTTATTTTAAAAAGTAATATTTTCATGATTTTTTATATCATTGTTATTCAAATTCTCTGTCAATTATTTTTTTTTCTTCATAAATAACCTTTTTATGTCTAATTTTCAAATAGTAATTTGAAAAAAAAATTCAAAAATATCTGCGTTCGGGGGAATCGAACCCCCGTCGAATGCTTGGAAGGCATCCATGCTGACCATTACACCACGAACGCGACATATTCCCTCAGGCGTTTATGTCTAGCATATATTTGTTTGTTCTTTCTTTTTTCCTTTCTCTCATTTTTCTTTTTTCTCCACGCAAAGAAAAAAAAAAGTGAAATATGAGGACGAGACAAGGATAGATATGTTGAAAATTTGATTATATTTATTCAATTAGTTAGAAAAAATAAATATCATTGCACTTTTTCGGTCTATAAATTCAATTATTCAATATACGTACTAAAAATGCAAAAAAATTACAAAAAACAACTTGAAATTAAATTCAAAAAATGATGTTATCTAACTTTAAACTCAACTTACCTTTAATAAAATGAAGCAAAGTTGTTTCGCTGTTTTTTTCATCTGAAAATTGCAACGTTTCAATTTCTAAGATCATGGGGTAATATGATCTCAATATCAAGAAAACCGAAAAAATTGTTATCAGAGGCAAAAAATGAACATCACACGGTTTTTTCTCGGAAATTTATAACGTTTTTTCGTGCCTGAATTCATCAACCATAAAAAAGTTGTTTCAATTGTCTCAAATTTCATTATAACATTTTTCAACCTAACCACTCGTGTCTCTAAACTTGAAATGAACACCATTTATTTACCAGGTTCAGTCAACAATAAAATGTGTACTCATTCTTCAGGTACTCAAAATTCGATTCAAAGTAGAGTTGCGTTTTCTCATTTTTTCTTCGTATTTTTTTACTAGCCCTCATTTTTTCCGCGTCTTCTGTATATTTATCTTAAGATTTTGAAGAGCTTTTTGTGCCTTTTATCCTCGTTTTGAACACTCTAGAGGGAAAAACATCCTAACAGCAAAAACGTCATTTTTTGTTAGTGTCATAAGATCAGCTTGTCTCTGTTGAAATAAAATAAAATAAATACATTGTTTGTTTTTTCCGTTTGATGAAATAGTTTTTGTTTTTTGTTTTTATTTTCTAATTTTTTTTACAATTAGTTCTCATTTCTGTTTTCTCTAGTTTCCTTGTGATGACTGACCTGTAATTAATCTTTGTAAAAAGAGGAAATGCACTTTTTCCAGAGAGAAAAAGAGATCTCAATTATTTTAGTTGTCAATTTAATTGGATGACTAGTAGTGTAAAATATCCTGATTTGTGTTCTTCGATAAATTATTTAGCAAGCTTTTTAGTCGCAATTAAATCTATCTAATTGTTCTGTTACTAATTGACTAGAAAGCAATGCGTTTTTTAATCTTTCTAATTTCTAGTATAAAATTTCTTTTGAAATAATTAGATTTTGCATATTCTTAAAACTTGATTTTCTGAGCAAAATCCAAGAAATCACGTGTGCTTCTCATTTAAAAATAGTTTTGAGTTGCAAGGTTTTGGAATTCTAAATTCTGAGAGTTGTTTTAATATTTTTTGTACAAATCTGAGAAGCTGAAGATTTCCAAAATTACTATTTTCAAGACATTGTGAATTTGAAAAAAAAATAATTTTCAAACACTTCAATTTCAACAACAGTTTGAATTCTCAATTAGAAATTTATTAAACTTATGAAAAAAAAATATTCGTATAAATTTTCAAATGTCTATCAAAAATCAAATTTTCCAAAAAATCCCACACGATCAGATTAATTTTAGTACCACCGCTTAAACTTTGATCAACATTTTGAAATCAAAGTTCTAATATTTTGTTGTGAGAAAAATTTCGAATGTTCTAGATAATTCGAGAAAAATTATTTTTTTTGTGTAACTCTCGAAGTTTTTGTGAAAAAAAACCCCAAGAAACACCTGAAAATGTCTCTGATTTTTTTCAATGAAATTCATAGAATCCACTAAAGAATCAAAAAATAAAAAAACACTCACTCATATCAGAAAATAATATTCATTTTCACCTGCTTTCCAAGATTTTTGAATAAAAATATAAAAAATATCTACCAAACTTTTCATTTTTCTTAATTTCTTCTCAAAAATTTTAATACTCTATAGTAGTTTACTCGAATCCCAAAACAAGTCAACACACTAGAAAAAATGTCTTGAATATCGGCAGATTAAAAAATCATTTCCTTATTTAGTGTCAACCTTTTTTTGAGTTAAATAGTTAGTTAATAATCTTTTCCCCAAGAAAAAACTGGGATTTCATTGAAAAAAATCAGAGACATTTTCAGGTGTTTCTTGGGGTTTTTTTTCACAAAAACTTCGAGAGTTACACAAAAAAAATAATTTTTCTCGAATTATCTAGAACATTCGAAATTTTTCTCACAACAAAATATTAGAACTTTGATTTCAAAATGTTGATCAAAGTTTAAGCGGTGGTACTAAAATTAATCTGATCGTGTGGGATTTTTTTGGAAAATTTGATTTTTGATAGACATTTGAAAATTTATACGAATATTTTTTTCATAAGTTTAATAAATTTCTAATTGAGAATTCAAACTGTTGTTGAAATTGAAGTGTTTGAAAATTATTTTTTTCAAATTCACAATGTCTTGAAAATAGTAATTTTGGAAATCTTCAGCTTCTCAGATTTGTACAAAAAATATTAAAACAACTCTCAGAATTTAGAATTCCAAAACCTTGCAACTCAAAACTATTTTTAAATGAGAAGCACACGTGATTTCTTGGATTTTGCTCAGAAAATCAAGTTTTAAGAATATGCAAAATCTAATTATTTCAAAAGAAATTTTATACTAGAAATTAGAAAGATTAAAAAACGCATTGCTTTCTAGTCAATTAGTAACAGAACAATTAGATAGATTTAATTGCGACTAAAAAGCTTGCTAAATAATTTATCGAAGAACACAAATCAGGATATTTTACACTACTAGTCATCCAATTAAATTGACAACTAAAATAATTGAGATCTCTTTTTCTCTCTGGAAAAAGTGCATTTCCTCTTTTTACAAAGATTAATTACAGGTCAGTCATCACAAGGAAACTAGAGAAAACAGAAATGAGAACTAATTGTAAAAAAAATTAGAAAATAAAAACAAAAAACAAAAACTATTTCATCAAACGGAAAAAACAAACAATGTATTTATTTTATTTTATTTCAACAGAGACAAGCTGATCTTATGACACTAACAAAAAATGACGTTTTTGCTGTTAGGATGTTTTTCCCTCTAGAGTGTTCAAAACGAGGATAAAAGGCACAAAAAGCTCTTCAAAATCTTAAGATAAATATACAGAAGACGCGGAAAAAATGAGGGCTAGTAAAAAAATACGAAGAAAAAAAATGAGAAAACGCAACTCTACTTTGAATCGAATTTTGAGTACCTGAAGAATGAGTACACATTTTATTGTTGACTGAACCTGGTAAATAAATGGTGTTCATTTCAAGTTTAGAGACACGAGTGGTTAGGTTGAAAAATGTTATAATGAAATTTGAGACAATTGAAACAACTTTTTTATGGTTGATGAATTCAGGCACGAAAAAACGTTATAAATTTCCGAGAAAAAAACCGTGTGATGTTCATTTTTTGCCTCTGATAACAATTTTTTCGGTTTTCTTGATATTGAGATCATATTACCCCATGATCTTAGAAATTGAAACGTTGCAATTTTCAGATGAAAAAAACAGCGAAACAACTTTGCTTCATTTTATTAAAGGTAAGTTGAGTTTAAAGTTAGATAACATCATTTTTTGAATTTAATTTCAAGTTGTTTTTTGT